TACCACTTGAGCCACAGCACCACTTCTGGCTTTTTTCTTTTTGCTTATGTGGTGCTGAGGAATTGAACCCAGGGCCTCATGCATGCAAGACAAGCACTGTACCACTGAGCCACCTTCCCAGCCCCTGTAGTTACTTCCTTCTGTATTGACTGTTAAGAAAATCATCTCATGGACTTAACGCCCGTAATCCTAGCTACTCAGGAGGCTGAGATCTGAAGATCATGGTTCAAAGCCAGCCTGGGCAGGAAAGTCCATGAGACTCTTATCTACCAAAACTACCAAAAAAGCTGGAAGTAGAGCTGTGGCTCCACTTGAGACTTGAGTCTTGAGACTCTTATCTCCAATTAAGGACTCAAAAAAATGGAAGTAGCTCTAGGCTGAAGTGGTAGAGCACTAGCTTTGAATACATAGAGGCTCAGGGACAGCATTCAAGCCCTGAGTTAAAGCCCTGCAACTGACAAAAAAAAAAAGTGTAAGGCCTTGAGTTTAAGCCCCAGTACCAAGAACAAACCAAACAAACCGTTTATTGCCCATTTTGTTACAGTGGCTGTGGCCTTGGTGTGCTGGTAGTGATGTGGTGATTTGTTCTACTTTAAAGGTGTCCTCTCTTGCTTTGTAGCTTCAGAGCACCGATTCCCTGGAATGCCTTGAATGTTTCATAGACCTCAACAATGGTGAAGGGCAAATTTTTACTATTGATGGCCCCCTGTGCTTGAAAAAACGTGCAGTCTATGTTTGGGTGAGTATATGCCTTAAAGTTGTTTTTTGAGGGGTGGGGGGTGGGGCTTCTTTACAATCTGATATTATCATTTGACAACCAAGAAGAACAGTTACTGTATTATTGCTTCAGTCTAATGTTCTCCCAACTGAGCTATTTCGGCGACCTCTCAGTTACTGTATTATTTCTAACAGTGTGAGTCCATTTTCCCATAGTTGCCCGTTTCTCAGGTAAAATAAGGTGGTCATGCTTTAAAAAGACTCAGCTGTTCCCAAGTTTAACTTGCTCTGGGGTTTCTCTCTCAATTGAAATTTCCTCTCTAAAAACATCATAATGTTTTCCGTTTCACAAGTAGATTTAGTTTTGGAATCAGTGCGAAGGTTTAACCAACTTTACATCTTGAAATGTTACTTTCATGTGTACTGTCCTTTTCTGTGTACCACATGTGAACTCTTCCTCCCTTAACAAGTCATGATCATCTTCTAGAAAGCTGATAGACCTGGCATATACGCCTTTCCATGCTGTGCTCAAGTGTGGCCACCCTGACCGCTGACATCCAGGTCTTCCCCAGGCCAGAGCCATTCATTGTAGATGAAGAAATCGATCCTATCCCAAAAGTCATTAACACAGGTAAAGCATTAAAAATTCCCTCCTGGCCTTCCTCTTTTCTCTGCCCTCCTTTCACTTGTGACTTACTTTCTCCCCATCTAGGAGGGTTGGAAAGAATCTTGTATTCTCACAGGGAGGTGCTATTGTCATCAGCCCTGGATTTTTTTTTTCTTTTTTGCTGGTCCTGGGGGCTTGAACTCAGGGCCTGGGCATTGTCCCTGAGCCTCTTTTCTCAAGGCTAGTCCTCCACCACTTGAGCCACAGCACCACCTCAGACTTTTTCTGTTTATGTGATACTTTGGAATCAAACCCAGGGCTTCATACAGTCCACAGGAGAACCTCCTTAGGTGATTTGTCTATACTGAGATAATGCTTTCTGCATAGATTTCAATCCACTCTATCACAGTTACTCATTCGGAAGTGATCTCATTTCCATCATTTTGTCTGATTCTTTTTCCCACCTTAGTGTGCCAATGAGTCAGGCCTGAACCTGAATGTGCCATGCAATATATGGAGCCCGGAGGCAGGCCTGCTGGACATGCTGGTGATGAACCTGGTCCCTGCCTACCAGAAAGGCGATCTCTTCTATGTTGGAAACTTCCTCCACAATTATAGACAGTGGGGGACAATGGAGCAAGTGCTGGATATTGTGTTTAAAAAGTGAGTGTTCCCCCTTCCTTCGCATCTTGGTCTGTTCAGCCTCTCCTTGCTGAGTTGTGGAATACTTGGCACCCCTCTGAACCTGCAGATTTCACGGGGGTCTTCTCAAAGGAGCTTGGCATGAGACAAAGAAGTGCACCCCCTGCCTACTTTCTTAGTAGTGGTCTGCGCAGGACATTTCCCAGAAAAGCTACTGGAACCTCAGAAGCTTGCTTACTTACAGGCATGTGCCTGTGGCACCCAACTTCTGCCCTCACCTAGGTGAAGTTGTAGGAAATCACATTTCCCATGAGTACATAAGGTTTCATTGGGAATTGGATGTACAGCTTCCTCCATTAGAGCCTCATTTAAATTGAACTCTACCTTAACATCCAGAATCCACTGTCAAACTCCTATACTGATTTCTCTTTCTCAGGCTTTGGCCGCCATAGAGCAGCTTCTCCTGACCTCCCAAGAAAGAAGCTCTCGGTAACGTCAGGGATGGTGACGGATGGAGATCTGGAGCCATCACTGGACTCCACAAAGCATGTGCATGTAGAGGGGTTGCATGCATTTGCAGTGAGGCCCCAAAAGGTTGTGAGTCCTGTGGATAAGACACTGGTTCTGAACCCCATATGTGACAGAGATGAACCTTAGGGACCCCAACGAAAGAAGAAAGTAATAGTGATTGTCTTCCTCTGACTTTCACAAGCAGATCAGCTTGTAAAGGGTCAAATCAGCACTCCTCCTGGCGTGCTGGAGGGAGTAGCACACGTGGGGCTGATGGAAAATGTCCCCAGTCTGTGTTCAGGGGAAGCAATGAGTGAGGTCCAAATGTTAGATGCAGCTCAGGAAAGTGAATCTGTCCTCAAAAAATATCTGGACAAATCTGTCCTGCTGCAGCATAGCCAATCTCCAACTGAGAAATTAGAATCTGCCTCTCCGGCAACTGCAGGATCAAATCCTATCTTTCATGAGGAGGTAGATGCCTTGGAGGATTCTGAGTTAGAATTTATGTCTGAAGGCAACTTAGAAGCCGACCTAGACTTAGAGCTTCCCTCCCCTCTCCCTGGGGATATCTCTCTTTTACTTTTTGTCCTGATTGGTGTAAAATGTTCATTCTTTTTATTCTTCTAAATTTATTAAAATGTATGTTTATGTTGTACAATTTATGGATCCTAAATACTGTGGGTTTTTTAATGTACATTCTGATGTCCCAGGCACATGTGTCCTGAGTAAGGGCAAAAGACAGAGTGACCTGGAGCTGTCCAAGAGCAATAACTGGCTATAGAGGGAAGTGTTCAGTGCACTGTGAGGGGTAAGGTACCCAGCCCATGCCTGCATGAGGTGATCAGGCCACTACTAAAGCTCTAGGACATAGCAAACCAGATGTCCTTGAAAGTTGTTCTGTCAGACTAAATGTACTAAATGGGGGACTTTCTTCCATTTGTGAAGTCAAGTCAGTACCCACCCCCATTTTGCTCTGTGCCAATATGTAAGAACATTTCACCTCAAAATGACATCAAAAAGCTACTTTGAGGGAAAAGTATTTGACAAAATACATGGGAAATAGGGAAAAGCCATCATCAATAGAAGAAAGAAAACTTAGTCAGAGGGACAAAGACATGCAAGGTGTCCTGACCCATCTCAATAATTCTAGTTTCAAGAGTGCTCTATACTTCCTCAGGATGGAGCTTCAAATCAGCCCCTGTAGAAAAATCTGAAAGACTCATCCAATGAGCCAGCAAAAGTCAGAAAGTCCTAGCATGGCTGAAGTTACATGTTTAAGCATGGAACAAAAAGTAAGCAAGAGCTCAATGTCCTGAGTTCAGATTCCACTACTGGCACAAAAGATGAAGACATCTAGACATGAAATGTGTGCAATGGTAGCTTTAAACCATGGAAACAGAAAAACATACGAATGGGAATATTACATATTTAAGCAAGAAGGCCAGACTTATAATAAACCATTGGTGAGTAGGTGTGGGCCTGTTTATGTTCTATGGGAGCTTGTAGAATGATTTATGAAACACCAAATAGATTCTAGTTAGCCAAATGTGGATCTGGATGATGTGTACTATGTAGTGAACTGTGGAAGGATAGGAAATACATCTTAGATATCCATATTCACTTTCTAATTGGAGTGGTAAGGGATTGCTCAGTCTTCCTGTCTGTTTTCTTGTGTTTGTCTGTTTCTGTTTCTGTCTGTCTCTGTCTCTGTCTGTCTCTGCCTCTTCCTCTGTCTCTGTCTCTCTGTCTGTCTGTCTCTCTCTCTCTCCTTTCTCTCTCTGTCTCTTCCTCTCTTCTATTTTGTTGTGGAGCTTGAACTCATGCTGTGGGACCTGTCTCTGAGCTTTTTTTGCACAATGCTCTTCAACTTAGAGTCACAGCTCCACTTCCAGTTTTCTGGTGGTTAATTGGACAGAAGAGGACTTTCTTGCCAGATATGGCTATGAACCATGATCCTCCCATTTAGACTCCTGACTAGCTAGCAGTACAGGTATGATCCACAGTGTCCAGTAGGGAATCTTTTGTGTGTGTGTGTGTGTGTTAGATCTTGCCTCCCTTCTCTCTGGACAAATGCCTGTTTTACTATTTATTGTTTGAACAGTATTAAAATGTCCATGTTTACATGATGTTGTAAAATTCTTGAATACAAAATACAAAATACTCTGGTCTTTTCTACCTCCAATCTAATATCCTGGGCACATGGGGCCTGATTGGGAGGAAGCAGAGTGTGCTGGATCTGGGGAACAAATCTGCTGGATTTACAAGGAACTGGTGACTACAGGGAGCCACAAGTAATGCAGGCAGTAGAGGATGCAGCCTGTGCTGAGATAGGACCCTTGATGCTGAGACACAAAAGCTCTGTGTTATATCACAACAGGTGTCTTTGAAAACTGGTCCCACTTGAATCTCAAGACCCCACCTCTTAATAGGGATTACTTACTCTCTGCAGCAAGTCAGGTATATGTGTTGATGTTTGAAGGTCTCTGCCAACAATGAGCAATTCTGCACTGTGCAAATAGAGAACATATAAATTTTAAAAGCTAGAATTAAATATTTGGTGCTGTTTTATGCTCTTAAGATGTTCCTTGCTTTGGGTTTTCATGAAGATTTTCTAAGTCTGCATGAGGGTGGATATGGACTGTAAGTTATCAAGATGACACAATAAGAGACTCATGCCTGCATTTGGAGAATGGTCTGGAATGAGCTTGCTGCACATATTACCTTACTTGGGCTAGGCATTTTTCTCTGTAAGAAGTCATTTTGGCTGCCTTTTCCCATTCATTATATCAGAAGCAACAACCTCTAACATGTAAATAGATGTACTTTGATGTAACATTTAAGAAAATCTGAGGGAATATTTAACAGTATTTGGAAAAGGGTGTCGTTTGTGGTAGTCAAAAACTTATATTCTAACCATGTTGGCATTGTTCTACACAAATAGATCAATGAGTCTCTGTATACCAGGTGAGGAACAGTTCTTAGCCTCCCTGTCTTGAAGCACACGTTCTGAGAATCCTTGAATTTCATGTGCTCTTTATCCCAGGGCAGTGGATTCTGAGAGGAGGCCTGGCCCTGCAGTGTGGCAGAGGTGCATGTGCAGAGGGAACATGTCTGGTTGGCATGCTGGAGTGGAAAATCCAGAAACTTTGGCAATCACCAGTTCAGTGAAGAGGACAGAGGGTTTAGGAAGGGACCGAGTGAAGAGTATGCGTGTAGGGGGTGTGTGTACAGAATGGTGGTGCTTGAACTTAAAAGCTGGCCACTGTCTATGAGTTCTTTCTCTCAAGGCTAGCACTCTAGCACTTTGAGCTACAGCTGGAGATAATCTGATAGCATTTCCTGACCTGGCTGGCTTTGAACCATGATCCTTAGATCTCAGCCTCCTGACTAGCAAAGAATACAGGCCTGAGCCAGAGACACTTATCCATATCATTTTTGTGTGTAGACTATTGGTGGTAAAGAAGACTCATTTATTCAAGAACTAAAAAATGACTAACAAGGGAGATTGTTGATGAAAATCTGCATGTCTAACAGAAGACTTGGGTAACATTGTGACAGGAAAGGCTACATTCCAAAATTGGGATTATTTTCTGTGTTCACTATATACATCACTTACATATTATATATAACATAATATATATAAATATAATACTACATGATAATACATATATTTGAATGTATTTTATAGGAGGACTAGCATATGATATTATGGGTCTCGAATATGTTGTTTCACAAACCATTAATGTAAAAGACATTATTGGGGAATTCAGTGATATACCATTGAGTCTCATATATTGTGTAGGTATATCTGTCTCAAGTTAACATAGTTAAATTCGCCAAATGCTGTTGCAAAAAGGGGTCATATGCTGGACGCTGGTGGCCCATGCCTATAATCCTAGATACTCGAGAGGCTGAGATCTGAGGATCACAGCGGAATGTCAGCCAGGCAGGTACATCCATGAGACTCTGATCTCCCAATAAGCGACCAGAAAACCAGAAGTGGTACTGTGCCTCAAGGTGGTAAAGCCCTAGCTTTGAGCTGAAAAGCTCAGGGTCCAGGCCCAGAGTTCAAGCCCATCAAACAATCCTCCATCCCCCCAAAAGTATGCCATGGCAGGGAATGAGCTGTTCATATATAGCTCAGGCCTGTGATCCCAATTAATCAGGAAACTTGGTTCTGAATTTCAGAGGTTCTATCCTCAGGGCACTAAGTTTTGAGAGAAGACTTGAGCTCCTCAAGGGACACAAAGAGACATGTGCAGTGGAGGATGGCTTGTGTCTGTGTTTGGATGGGAAATCCAGAAACTGAACAGCCATTGCCACAGTTGAGGAAAGATGAGGCTGAAGAGGAGCAATGTCCATGCTGGGTAGGAAAGTTCCATGAATCTCTCATCTCCAACTGACTACAAAAAGCTCAAAGTGGACCTGTGTCTCAGGTGATAAAGCACTAGTTTTGAGGAAAATTGCTCAGGGTCCAAGATCAGAAATGCACACACACACACCACAGTAAATATTGTAATTAACACACACACACACACACACCACAGTAAATATTGTATTTAAATTCCTATGCAGAGACTGGACAACAGCTCAGCAATGTGTGAAATTCTTCCCGTTTGTGTTAAGGGAGGAGGATAGATCATGGGACACAGAAGCAAAGACTTCAGAGGCAAATCACTATATAAACAATTAGCTTTAAGGCGAAAAGAAGTAGTTTTCTACCTTAAATACTACAATCCTTCAAAGCTATAGTAAAACAAATCCTCGTCATCATAAAAAGACAATGCAGAGGCTCTTCCTTTCTCTGCTTGCCTCCATGAAATATTTCAAGTATAAAAAATAATTTTCTCACTTACAAAAATGGAGACCTGTGGCTGGGAAGGTGGCTCAGTGGTAGAGTGCTTGCCTAGCATGCATGAAGACCTGGGTTCAATTCCTCAGAACCACATACACAGAAAAAGCCAAAGTGGTGCTGTGGCTCAAGTGGTAGAGTGCTAGCC